AGTCTTAGTAAAGGCTCAGAAATGGCGAAAACTACATACCTTTGTTCAGAAAATTCCTATAAATCTCTAACTTGCTTACACAAATTGCCCACGATATCAAACACTCATATGTCCCGTTGCTGCATTTTTTCCTCATCTAGAAATCGAGAAAAGGAAAATTTTCTGTTTTACAAAAAAGGAAGCTATGCTGTTTCTATGCATGTAGCTGTATACTACAAGCCCTTGAAGTATAACCGTAAATTTTCAGCTCTCCAGAAGTCCTAGTTTTCGAGAATTACCTAATTTAGCATTGAACACTCCAGTGAGAGAAGCTAAATTTGGTATTTTTCGAAAACTGGGGCTTCTGAAAAGCTGAAAATTTACGGTTATACTTCTAAGGGCTTGTAGTATACAGCTACTTAAATAGAAACAACATAGCTTCGTTTTTGTAGAAACTGAGAAATTTGCCATTTTTCGATTGCTAGATGAGGAGAAATTAAACGAACGGTACACGCAAGTGTCTGATATACTGGGCAATCTGCCTGAACGAGTTGCAGATGCGGAGGATTTTTTTTGAACAAAGATATGAATTTTTCGCCTTTTTTTGAGCCTTCAGTGCGACTCAGATTTTGGATGGAAAGTTACAGTGGGTCGAAGTCGGTGCAAACTTTTGCATACCACTTGTAGAGCTTGCTCTGCTCTATCGAACGGTATCCTGGAGCCCTTTTAGAATTATGAAGTTCACGACTTATCATCGTAAGGAATTAAGGTGCAACAAGACTTGTGTAACAAGTTAAAACATGATGAATACGTGATACTTTGGGTGAAAAAATGTTTATGTTGCAGCATTTAAGCCTCTCATAAGTTTTTTTTGATAGAATTTACAGTGCAAGACTTATATACTTGTACTAACTTGATATAGAAAGCTGTAGCTTATATGTCTACTAATTCGAAGTTTTCGTTTCGTGATTCTTTCCATACCACATTTTGCTAGTGGCATTCATTTCTCCTCGGTATCGTGTGTATGGATATCTTTTTTCCAAAGAGCCTATAACAAAGGAAAAAAGCGAGATATGTAGGTACTAAAGCCTTTAGTAATGGAATCAGTAAATACTTTGAGCACTTCTAATTGGAATGCAAAAAAGCTTTTTGGTCCTTGCATGGTCTCGACAATCGTGAAATTCCTTCTTTTAGTAAGAGCAGAGATATCAACGAGCTATCTGCCTATTGAGTGGAAAATGGTGATTATACTGTCAGCAATCTTCAAATGATTGCTTTTGAGCTTGTTACAATAATTTGCGAGTCGCTTAGTATACCGTAATAACACAATATTATAACATTAGAGATTCATTCTCTTGATCGACTCAGCATAGTCAAAAAAATTTTGCGACCATAAACATGGCTGGATAATCATAAATGCATTGGTGGGAAAGCTATAGAGAGTCTTGTATAGAGAGCCGCGTTTATGAAAAATTTCACCCTTCAGTTCGATGCAGTTTGATGTACATTGCACTACGTTTATTCCTTTTGTGCGACGAAAACTAATACGGGTTTAGCGCATGGAAGCTGGATTAGCTTACAAGCGAAATATACAGGGTGTCCCAAAAAAATGTGAACACTGTTTGATCATTAATAACTCCCTTGCTTTCAAGTTTTTCGCCGAGCTTGAGGCACCATTCTATAAAGTGAGGTTTAACTTAGATCTACAGTATGGAGCGAGTCGTCGTTCGCTCTTCATTACTATAGGATTACGGTAGGAATTTCGACAAGGATTTTAGGCCATTGCAAGCCATATTCTCTTCGGAACAAAATCAAACAAGCCGAATAGTTTTATACTATGGTGACGGAAGCCGCTGAGTTCGAATATGAAATTTTTACTTCACTGTGATGCTTCTTTCCAAGGTTATTGAAGGTAAACCGCAATAACTGAATTTCCAGCATTTGTCAGAAATGTGACTAAACCGTCAAAAAAGCTGAAAACACTAGTAAAAAGTTGTGTAGTGGAATCAGCGTGCGCAAAAACCTTAGTACACCATTTTCAGATTTTTTGAAAAAAATTTTGTCAAATGGCGTATTTTACCATGGATCCACATGCTAGATGTTCATACCGTAATCATACAGTAACGAAGGGAGATCGGAGTTTTGCCGCGCACTGTAAATCCAAGTTGAACCTCGCTCTACAGAATGGTGCCTCGCTCGGCGAAAGACATGAAAACTACGGAGTTATTAACGATCAAACAGTGTTCACATTTTTTTGGGACACCCTGTATATTCCCATGAATGGAGCTTACGAAAGAGGAATAAGCCTTCACTGCTGAGCTGCCAGCCGCTTGGGTTAGGTGAGGCAAGTGATGTGCTGTCCAGTATTTTGTGATTTCCAAGCTTAGTCAGACTATAATTAACGACTTAGCTGCCCCTTTAGTTGCTATCTCAGGAAAATTTGGGAATTTCCATCTATCTCTTCCATTGCCTTGTCCGTCTTCCATTCTCGGTGAAGTACTATGATGGTCAAAATCTCAAGCACAAATTTCTGTGGGAAATTGATCATTGATAATGTAAAGCGACTTGGGTTTCCAACATAAAGCTCACTTGTGCAGTAAATTTAACGTAGTCATAGTCAATGTCAAAAAAATATTTGCGCGCGCAACAAACTTTTTCAGTAATATGTTCATTTGTAGGACAAATTGCTTTTATCTTTGAAACTGACATCTGGCATTAGTTAACCATCAGCAAGGTACGCGCTGGCTTATGCAGATGGACAATTTTGCGCTATTTAGAGTACAATAAAGCTTTGCCTTTGATGTGGAGCTTCACTAAATCATGTTGCGTCTCACTATGAAAAATCTCCTCACTAATTAACACCTTACCAAACATCAAATGTGTGAGATGTGGGCGAATAAAAGTTACATTCATTCACTGGGTTTGTCTCATAATATTTTTTTCAGCTTATAAAATTCAACCTTCATATTATCATTTTTATATCTCATCTACTACTATTGAGGAAAATTGCGATTTTGACGTTTTCAGATTAGAGTTATGTTCTTATAAAGCAAAACAACTTTTAGGTGGCCACAGGTGGTGTTTTACACATCTATATAACTCGTGATCCACCTGAAGTTTAAGGTCAAAACTTAGATTTTAAACCACGCTGAAAACCTGCCCGATGAACCTTCTTTCTAAAACTTCAGCGGGCCCACACCTGCTGCTGCTTGACCTAATAATCCGCACATCCACTTTTGGTAGTTTCCCATGGCTAGAATTTGAAAAGTGTTCGGCATACAACAGCAAACTCCACCTTAGCGCTTTTATGTCCTACCACTTGTATACGTAATTATAAAACTCATTCGTTCGAATTATAGCGATATATTCATTTCTTGCAGGCTCTGAGTCCTTGAGAATTGTAAACTGCGTAAAGGTTTGGAAACAATTATGACGAATCCTAACAGCATACTCTGGAGCACTGTAGATCAAATTCCCAAGAGGTTCACTTTATCATTTGTCAGACTTCTAGTGATATGATGCTCCAAAAAGCTGGGCATGATCTTTTTATTGACTTTCAACCTCACTAGTGAATTAAACGATTTCCATTTATAAGTCCATACCAGTGGTATACCGAGGGGGCCTACCCCCCCCCCCCCCCGAGAATGGGTCGCGAAATTTTTGAAAGTTACTTGAATGAGTTATAAACATGTGCAAGCGACTTGTTTTTACTTGTGAATAATTCAAATAATTTTTGAAATTTTCAAAATTCAAACTGGCTTTGTAAAAAAAATTTTCGAAGGCGTGGCTGCGGCCATGCCCCCTTTCTCCAAAATTTTGAGGTCAGGGGGCCGCAAAAATTTTGGGAAGCATTTCAAAAAACCTTTTGGAGTGCGTGGGTAACGCCACACACCTTCATTCGAAAAAATTTTTTGTTGCATCCCCCTCCCCCCCCCCCCCCCGAGCGGAAATCGTGGGTGCCCCACTGGTCCATACTCATTTCTACTTCAAAATATTCGTTGTTCGTAAAAAACCGATTCCGTCTCATTTACAAAGTGCATAAAGGCTACCGCAGGACGAAGGCGCTGAAGCAGTATAAGTTGAGCGGGCGCGAGCGCGGCGTGCGCGTATCTTCACCGTTGTAAACCCTGCGCCTCACTGCTCTGCGGCTAATAAAGCCGCGTTCGCGTCCAAAAGATCGCGCCTTCGTCATGCACTAGGCTTTGGTATGAACATGCGCATTTATTCGAAATCTAGCGATCTGTGCAATCTAATGGTTTTTATGAAATGTGACTCATAATAATGAGATTTCCCGCATTTCAACAGCAGATTACGAATTTTGGTATGGACTCACTACTCCAATTCTAGGTGGCAATGCAAGACTCAATTTGAGCTGTTAGTTATCTTAAATCTCGAATTACTTTCCTTACTGTTGGGCGAGAGAGTGCAGCCTGCATTAACAATCGATTAGCGATCATGCCTCTAAATCTTACGGCTCAACTTTCTGGCTACCATTGAACGAGCTCGCTTAGAGGCTTGTTAGATCTTAAAGATTGTTCCTTGAATCTTTAGTCAAACTCAATCTATCTTGATCTTTTTGATCTTACTTCTCTCGCTCTTTCATCGTTTGTTGATACATTTATCACGAACAAGTCTTCGGCCCCTGCGGTTATTATAACAACCAGTTGACTTATTAATTATAATTGCAGCTCTAAATATCAAATGGCTCTTGCTTTTGGAGTCCTGTCGATTTCTCACTTTGAATCGATGGTCGCGACTTTTCTTGGTCGTGACCTGCTGATTGCGCGATTGATCTATTCGATCCATCGCGATCCCGCCAATAGGCGTCACCGAGCTCGACTCGGATGTATCCTCAGTTTGCTTTTGTGAGCGCTCCTGTCCGCTCGCTTTTTTTTTGAATTCGATTTTTTCCATGGATATGGTTCGTCTCTACGCCGGTTTTAGCCCTGGGCCCCGGCCGGCGAACCACACATACAAGTCAGTCCTAGGATTAAAACCTTTACTGACTTTTGGTGTTGCAGATGAGTCGCTCTCGTTCGAGATCGAGCGACCGCGAACGTAGCCGTCATTCGCGTTCAAGCAGCACGTCGTCCAGCGAGTCATCCGGTCGATCGAGCTCCCGTTCTCCGTCGCCAGATCCCCCAGAGGAAGGAGAGCTGGACGTCAAGGACCCGTGCCAGGCTTGGACTACCAGTCCCCCTTATTGGGGCTCCCCAGATTACCTCGCAGGGATGAATTCGCTTCAGCACAAGAAGAAATACCCGCCCCACCTGCGGTGCCGCAGAGGACTCAGCGCATCAGGATAAGCCTCACTGAGGAGGCTAGGCGCCGATTTGACCAAGTGGCGGCTGGGATGCAGGTGTCAAGCAGTGAGCGAATAGCCATATTGAAAGATGTGCCGCTCGTCTCCTCACCGTTCGCAGAAGTAGCGATGTTGGACGACCAACTTCCCAGGGAGGTCGAGAGGTCCATTCAGCTTCGGGAGGCAGACTTACGCCGTCTAAACGAAACCCTCATCAACACCATCAATATAATCGAGCTGGTGCGAAAGTTAGGAGCTGACGGAGCAGGAACAGAATTCCATCCTTCCGTCATTGGATATTTCGACATTGCTACCATCCTTCTTTCAGCCTCCTTGCGCGACATCATTGTCTTCAGGAGAGAAAGAGTGTTGAGGTGGGTGCTTGAATGCTAATGTTAGTCATGAGTATTGCGAGTCTCATTTCAAGTCCCTGGGACTGGACCCTTATAAGGCCATGCCTTCCTATAGAAGACTTCCGCTTGCCGGGACCACAGTGGTACACCGCATGTCCCAAGCAGTACATCCGGAACTGTTCGGACGCGAGTTAAGGGACGAACTGGCCGCGGGGGAAAGTGCCTTGTTGAAGTCCGTGCAGAAATTGCGTGCCCAAAGATCACGAAGAAGAGACAGGCCTGATACAAGGGAAAGAAGGTCGGTTTTCTCTGTTTCGCTTTATCCCCCAAACAATAAAAAGTTAGTATTGGCCAAGATTAGCTCCGACCGGATTGCAGGTCGATTGGCCGACTTTGCACAAAATTGGGGAAAGGTGACCACTGACCCACATGTGCTAGCTGCGGTGAAGGGTTACTCTCTGCCCTTCCTGGCGAAGCCCCGCACGCGCTTACCCTCAGACTGGATGGCCGCACAGCATTCACCCCCCAGCATCGATCCCGCGCTAAGTGAACTACTCACCAAGGGGGTAATATATAAGGTTGCTCGCAACACACACGTGTGGCTGTCCAACATGTTCGGAGTTCCGAAGAGGGATGGGTCGACGAGACCGGTGATAAACCTCAGATCTCTGAACAAGTACCTTTGGATCCCTCACTTCAAAATGGAAGGACTGCATCTCGTTGCGGATGTGGTATATAGAGGGGATTATTGCGTCAAGATTGACATGAGTGACGCGTACTTCGCCGTCAATATTGAGGAAAGATCTAGGCCTTACCTAGCCTTTCGGTGGAAAAAGGATATTTATTACTTTACTTGCTTGCCCTTCGGCCTGGCTACAGCCCCGTATATCTATACAAAGCTCATGCGCGTAGTGGCTCAGCACCTGCGATCTAAGGGCATTAGGCTGATAATGTACCTGGATGACTGGGCTATTTTTGCCGGCAGCAGACAAAAGTGCATCCGGTACACGCGCTACGCCCTGAAGGTGTTTGCGAGGTTAGGTTTGCGGGTCAACACCGAGAAGTCTGTCCTTACACCAGGACAGAAACTGCATTTTCTGGGCATGGATATAGACACTGTAGCCATGAGATTTGCGTTACCCAGCGACAAAATAGCCTGTATTCAAGACGAAGCCAGATCGTTGGCAGCGCAGGAGAAGGTGAAGGCTCGAGATCTCTCTCAATTTTTGAGAAGAATAAATTTCGCAGCGGTTGCTTCCCCGCTGGCCATGCATATGGCGCGGATTCTGCAACACGACTTGGCTCTAGTCGTAAACCCCCACGATGACTCCACCTATGAGGCGTTCTTGACCTTGTCTGAGGGGAGCAAGAGAGACCTGTGCTGGTTTGCACAGGGGTTCCAACATGTGGCTTCCTCATCCTTTACCAGATTTTCCCCGGACGTCATCATCACAACCGATGCGTCAAAGTCAGGATGGGGGGGGGGGGGGGCGATATGCTGCGGACAGAAGACCGGAGGTCGCTGGTCTTCAGAAGAGGCGGAGGCGCATATAAACACGCTCGAGTTGCGAGCTGCCTACTTCGGTCTTCTGTCCTTTGCCAGGGATTGGCACGATGTCGACATATTGATGGAAGTGGACAATACCGCTGCTATCGCTTATATCAAGAAACAGGGAGGCACAACTAACATAGCTATGACACTCATAGCTAGGGAAATGAGCAAGTGGGCGATAGAACGTAACATTCGTCTGTCAGCCACATATCGTCCGGGCACGCTAAATAGTCTAGCCGATCGGGAGTCTAGAGTTCTCCATCATGAAAACTCTGAGTGGTCCCTAGATGCGGATATGGCCAAAACCCTGTTTAGATCATTCGGGTATCCGGATGTAGACTTATTCGCATCTAGGCTCAATAAAAAATTGGAAGCCTATTACTCATACAACTATGATCCAGGAGCACTGAAAGTCGATGCTATCGCTCAGAACTGGTCGGGGATCTTTGGATACGCTTTTCCGCCATTCAACCTCATCGGTGCGGTAATACGAAAAGCGGTCGACGAAGGAACAACCCTCCTTCTCGTAACTCCCCTCTGGAGAACTCAGCCCTGGTTCCCCATAGCACTGAGACATGCAAAGTCTCTACCATGGTGCCTTGTGTCAGAAGCCCCAGTCATCACAGACACAGTAGGGAGATCGCACCCCCTCACTGCTCAAAAGAACTTCCACCTCTTAGCCTGGAGCATCTCTCCCAGAAGTGGTCCGCTTCAGGGCTCCAACGCCATGCAGTCGATTTGCTCATGGCCAGCTGGGCTCCCAATACTCACAAGCAGTATGAGTCCGCACCCAAGAAGTGGAATTCCTATCTGAAGCATTCCACGGTCTCGCCTCAGACTGCGTCACCATTGGTTTGCAATTTTTTAGCGGAACAGCTGAGCTTGGGGCTGACGAATGCAACGGTAGCCTCTTATAAGGCCGCTATATGCACAGTTAGTGACCTGTGTTATGGTTTCAACTGGTCCTCCGACCTGACCATATCACGCCTAATGAAGGGAGGCTTTCGATCTAAACCCCCTCGGCCACGCTACACCTCCACCTGGAGTGTAGACGAGGTGCTAAGGTATATCCACAAGCTAGGATCAAACGAGACGCTCTCACTGAAAGACCTAACTCTCAAGTTGACTACTCTCCTGGCACTGTGTTCTCCAAAGAGAGTGTCGGAAATAGCATCGCTGTCCTTGGAGGCGATGCATAAACAGCCCAATAGGTGACCTTCTTTCTCGATTACAGGAACAAGACGAGAAGAGCAGGGCCTCCGCAAACGGCCGTATATGAGAGCTATTTCGCAGACAAGACACTGTGCCCGATAGCTACTCTTAGTGAGTACATTGAAAGGACCACAGTTTTGCGTCGGGGGGAACAACAGCTGTTGCTATCCTACACGTATCCACACAAGCGTATCAGTTCCGCAACTGTGGCAAGATGGATTAGAATCTTCCTAGATCAAGCTGGGGTAGATACCACGTACTATAAGGCTCATTCCACGCGTTCGGCCAGCACCACTCTGCCCACTATTATGCGTGCGGCATGCTGGGCTTCAGGAAGCACAACCTTCCAGAAGTTCTATCACAGAGAAATTTCGGAGCCCTCCTTTCAGGAGATGATTCTCCGAAGGTGATTTGAACGAGCCATTTGATATTTAGAGCTGCAATTATAATATTATATTATGCAAGACTTGTTGAAGTATAATATTTATTATAATTGTCAGCGAATAAATATCAAAGCCCTCCCGCGATCCGCCCGAAAGTAACATTCTTTCTTACAGGTCGCACACACAGCCCAGCACAAGCAGAGCCGAAAACGCGTCGACATCGTCGGTTCGCGATAAAACGCAGGACAGACTGAGAGCCAAGAAATTGTTCAAGAACGAGAAAAGAAAGGAGAAATAGCTTTGCCATCACCTCAATAGGATTCTGCTACCTCAGCAATAGATGTATAACATGTTCGTTCGGGTTGACTAATAAATGTTCATGCGTTTCCTCTACATGCTGAATTGCAGCTGTAGTCATCCGTACTGCACGAGTAGTTCACTTAGCCGGGGACGCTAGCTACTCGCACTCCCTCAGCAAACTGAGGATACATCCGAGTCGAGCTCGGTGACGCCTATTGGCGGGAGCGCGATGGATCGAACAGATCAATCGCGTAATCAGTAGGTCACGACCAAGAAAAGTCGCGACCATCGATTCAAAGTGAGAAATCGACAGGACTTCAAAAGCAAGAGCCATTTGATATTTATTCGCTGACAATTATAATAAATATTATACTTCAACAAGTCTTGCATAATATAATATTATTCGCTCAAAACGAATCCCTTGCACATTTTCTAGATGCAAAACTATAAGGACTTTCATTTGCTTTCAGCTCTGATCACAATAATTTTTGGCCTCCGGCATTGTAACTCCGTAGCACTAAAATCAAAATTTGCGATGGAAAGGCTTAGCGCGCTTTTCAAGTAGCATTGTTATCGCAGAACGAAGCCACTTGCAGCCGAGTACTTTGAGGTTGGGCGGATTACTTTGCTTTCCACCTTTTCAAAAAGGAACTCAATTTGCCACTACTATTATTTGAAGGATATCTCAATTATTTTCTCTTTCTGGATTTGGGAAACTCTAAGAGCCTCTTAGAAATCGCAGATTTCTTTCAAACTAAAAAGAACAGAAATCTTCTGGGCAATCCCGCAAGTGCACACACAGCCAGGAAGTTAACGACAGTATCGAACACACTCAACTCTTTTGCTTTTCTCTAAATTACTCTGTGCCTCGAGTTGCTTTTTCTATTCTAATTTTCCTAGAAATTATTTCCACGCTATTACTATCATGGTGGCAGTCCGATGCCGATAACCTTTCAGACACGAGAGTCCAAAAACCTTCAGTATTTCAAAAATTTTTGATGCTTGACTCATTCATCATCATCTTACGGGCGCTGCTTAGAAGTCTCTGTCGAAGCTTAGGAAAATTTCTTGAAAGTTTTTTCAAAGAGAAAAGTTGTTTCAAAGAGATTTTCATGATGAAAACGCACATGAAGTCTAAGTGTGTAGCACAGCTTATCCGTCAACCTAAAATCCAGTGCTGATTGTACCATCGCTACTACCAAGGACTCTTCAATGGTTGGTAAAAAACACGAAGGAGATTCGTGAGCCTGATGATGATATTCCTAAATGAATTAATCAACTAATCACTGTTATTCATTGATAATTATCAAACTCCTTTCATTCTGTGGCACACTCCTTGCATGAAAATATCAACAACTGCATCACAGCAGAAGCATGAGTCATAATCCCTTGAGAGCTGCAACATCTCATAAGCCCCCATGTGCCAATCGGTGGTGCAGTTTTCTCCCTTGCAGCGCCTCCTCATATCTCACTTGCCTAATTATCTTCGTAAACTTAACCCAAGTTGACGTCATCAGGAACTGGTTGAGCTGGACGCAAAGTGGGCCTGGGGCTGCAGATCGGCTTGCAAGATAGCTGCCGCCTTCGCATGTG